AGATTGGTGACTATATCATTCAATCTTGTATACATATCTTGAATGCTCTCCTCCGGTTTCATCTTGAAAAGCTCATACATGTAAATGAGTCTATTGATTTTTTACTTCTTCACTTGGCTTGTTCCTTCATGTGTTACCTCCAACATGTCCCACATCTCCTTGGCCGTATCATATCCGGATACTCTATGGAATTCGGTTGGATTGAGAGCACAATGAAGCATATTGATTGCTTTGTTGTTGATCATGATCTTCACCAAGTCTTCATCATTCCATTCAACTTCTTCCTTTGGCACCTCACTTCCCCCAACTACTTTCATAGGCACATATGGACCTTTCATAGTCACAATCTCATAGTCACAATCCATGCCTTGGGCACATTTGCAAGCATGAAGACCTTCATCCTATTCTTCCAATAATTATAATTAGTACCATCAAATAAAGGAGGTTTAGTGGTAGACAAACCTTCAAGTGGTTGAGAAGATAGAAATTAAGCCATTCTCGATAAACTCCTAGGTGGTTAAACCTTCAAATTGGAGCCCTTGCTCTGATACCAATTGTTGACTCAATGTACTCCAAGAGGAGGGGTGAATTGGAGTTCCAAAAATTCTCCCCTTTTTGCAACCACAAAACCAAAATTAAAAAGAGTAGAGAAGAAGAGCTTGCTCAATGATTTATAGAGGTTCGGTCCAACCACTTGGAGCCCAGTCCTCTACCTTGGCTTCACTCACCAAGGATTTCCGCCACACTCTCCACTAACAACAACAAGGGTAATTTAAAGGAGCCACTCAATCCTTTTACAAGAATAAGGGTGTTTCTCTCAAATCTCACCCCTTTACAAGATAAACCCCAAAGATCCTCTCTACATATCACTCTTGAAGGAATCAACACACCCCTAAGATCACTCACTAATAGCACAAGAAGAGAATTACAAATAAAGATCTCTCAAAGATCAAAATCTCAAGTTAAAGCACAAGTTGGTAGGTAAAGATATTCAATACAATGCTCTTTAAACTTGTTCATATCTGTTACCAACCATATTTATAACCCCTTGCTCAAAAGTAGCCGTTTCTGACCGTTAGGGGTCATTAAATGCTCTGCAGGACGCATGGCTCGAGTTGCAGAACTATCAGGAGAGCCGGCTTAACTTCCTAGAGATGGCTCTGAACAGCCGACTCACCATTTATGTAGCTGGCTTTGCAGAATTCCTGCACATTCTGTTTTCCTCGAGACCCGGTTGCAAGACTTTGAGCCGGCTTTGGAACTCCGACTTTAAATACATTAAATATTCTTCAAAAGAATCGACCGTTGTGCATTAAATGCATCCTCATAGCCGGCTATAAAGTTAGAGCCGGCTCTGCTTCCATTTTTCGCACGCGCCAACACAGCAGTTGAATTTCTGGCCTGTAGAGCCAGCTCAACAAAATTTGTAGCCAGCTCTCTGCACTTTTGCTTCCCAGAGTCGACTGCAATTTTCTTAAGCCGGCTCTCTGCATATTTTTACCCTTTGAGCCCTTTTTAATGCAATCTCATTTTGCTTACTTTGCAGTATATTGGCAATTTAACTACACACTTAAATAACTCAATTAGTCACTCAAATGTGTTTTGTAATCATCAAAATCATAGGTACAACACTCCCATTTACATATATGAAACCTCAATAAACCTTACTTAGTTTCTATCTTGAAGGCTTCCTTGACCCTCAAGGATCTCTTTTTGAAGCTTCATTTACTTCCAAGATCACAAAGAAAGGATAGAAAAAAGACTACAAAGGATATAATCTCTCAAAATCTAATTTGCAAGTGTAAACTCAAACTCTTGAAAGAATTTGTAAATCTAAGCTCAACTCTTGTTTTTGATCTTCTAATATGTGTGTAAAGGTTCTCCAAGATGTTTACTAATCATATTTATACAATCAAGGTTGAAACTAGTCGTCTATAGCCATTGGACTCCATTTAATGCATTGTAAATTAGGTTAACAGTAAGTTGTAGAATTTTACTATTAAGCCGACTATACTTTAGAGTCGGCTTTGCATAGCCAACTATAAATATCAGAGCCAACTATCTTGAGGAGTTAAATATTTTGTTTTCTTTTCCTTTTTTTTTTTGTTTTTTTTTTGTTTTTTTAAGAACTGGCTGAAAATCCCAAAATGGACTTAAGAACTTTAAGTTTGAAACATTAACTCTTTGAAATTTTTGACTATTAGGCATTAAATGTTCTATAATAGCCAGTTGTAGTGTTAAAACCTGCTTTGCATCTATTTCCCACCCACGCCAAGCTGCAAAGTTGAGTTCTAGAACAATAGAGCCGGCTCCAAACTCAAAGCCAACTTCAAACTCAAAGCCAACTTCCCAAGCTATTTTTCAGCACTTAGTTCCTTTACTCTTTCATCCAAATTTTTCTCATTCAAATTCCATTTTGAATGTTCTTATACTTGTTGGAAAGTTTGAGATATCTAGTTTCATATGAACTAATCCTTGAGATAAAACTTCAACTATAATTTGATTAATGCTTAAATGAACAAATGGAGGTTAGTTTTGCGTCAAATGGAGGCTATTAAATATTCTAATTTTTTGCACATTAACACAAAACTTATTAGACCTTTTCACAATAATTTTATTTTCATTAAAATCATCATAGGAAGTGAACATATTCCAACTTCATGTGAAATTGAAAAGTTATATATTAAGGTTTCATTTAGTATAATTTTATTTTTTTGGGTTTCACTTTTTATTTTTTTATATATTTAGTAACTATTACTACATTTAAAATTCAAAATTTATTATAACAATTTAAATTTAACATATTATAGTAGTAATTAGACCTGGCAAACGAGTGGGTTGAGTCGGGTTCAGGTTGAGTCAACTCGGGTGATGGGTTATACGAGTTGGGTCATGAACAGTTTTCAGGCCAGAAAAGTTCAACCATAATCCTACCTTAATGGATTACGGATTAACCCGCGGGTTAATTTTATTTTCATTTTTTATAATTTTTTTATTAATTTTATTATATACAAATAAAATTATATATATCTAAATCCAATTAAAATATTATGATTAATTAAAACTAAGTACTTTATAGTCTCAATTACAAACAATTAAATTAAAAAAATCATAAAGTTATAAATAATTATAAATTAATTAATAATAACAATATTAAACGTAAAATATTTAAATTTCTTAGAAAATAAAGTTGTAATTCTATAATCATCTTAAAATATTATCAAATAGTTTAAGCTATTTTTTTTTTTTATGATAAATTGCTCTTCCAAGAACATCTTTTACTAAGTTATTATGTTTATGTCTTAGCATCACATCTTTTAATATTTTTAGTTGCATTATCATTTTATTCATAATACTTGGGTAATTATTAATACAAAAAAAAATGATACTTGGATAATTAAATCAAACTCATCATAATTTTTTCGTCTTGCTCTAGAAATTAAGGAATATGAATTAATGGAAGAAATTACCAATAGGAAAATTAATTAAGAATAATATGTATAATATTTAAAAATAATAATAAAAAATAAAACAAACGCTTACCCCGTCAACCTGCGGATTAACCCTAACCCAACCCGTGACCTGTACAGGTTGATAATACAGGTTATTTACGCGTTGCGGGTTGAGATATGTAGACTTTAACCCATTTTTATGGGTTGGGTTAGAATTGGATTAACGGATCAAGTAGATTTTTACCACATCTAGTATTAATTATCAGTTACAGCTACAAATCAGCCTAACTACCATTTAAGCATACCCTGACCTGCCGCTGAGTATTTCTGTGCCTGCGTTGTCCCAACCTTTTGGCTTGTGTGGGATTTTCTTTTTTTCTTTTTCTTTTTTTTTTTTATTGTCTGCTTTGTATAGCAGAGTTCTGCTGCGTTGCTAAGGAGAATTTGCAAGTTTTATTTTTACTATTACATGGATAATCTTATGTTTTATTTGATATCCAGTGAATACTACTTACACGTGGCAACTTTTCCTTGATTCACATAGCCTTGAGGTATAATCACTACAAGAAAAATACTAATTGCCTGCATTTGATTTTTTGCGTTTGTACCAATCACCAGTCAACTATTCTTTTTGGTTTATACTGGCTATACTTTAGTGGCATTTGGCGGCAAAACGCAGGTGGATTCTTGCGTTTTACTTATTAAACGCAGGGAATTAATTAGAAAAAAGCGGGTTGAAACAGCACTAGGGTTCGTTTGATCTAACGGTTTTAAAATAGTGGTTAGTGATTTTGCTTAAACTATTAAATATAGGTGTTTGATAAATTTATATATTTTGAAATCATTACAAATAAAATGTTTGGTAAAATTTTTTTTAACGGTTTGAGACTAACAGATAGCGGTTAGAGTCAAAACTGCTAACGGATTGAAAAAACTAGTTTATATAACTTTTTGTACCAAACCGCTATCAGATTAAAATATTTTAATTTTATTGACAAATTTATCCGTTTTAATTTTTTAATTTGTGGTCACATTTTTTAATTAATAATTATCTAATAAATTTCAATTTT